AATAATCCGACTTACAAAATCTGGACTGTAACATGGCTTTACAAATGCCATGCGCAAATCCACAATCTCGCATTGTAGCATGTGCAACACAGCACGTCGCTTCTTGCAATCGGGTACTGCAGCGCAAACACACCGCGTCATAAGCATAAGCAATGCAATTAGAAAGTGCCGACAGCAGGAGTTAACAGCTCTCACCCATTCCATGCCTATCTGCAATGTACTCCAAAATGGCTCCAGATTGAGTTAATTTGTAGTCCCCATCGATGTAGTAAGGCAACTATAGAAGTCATTATGTTTGGAGGTATTAAGGCGGGTCAGCTTACATTTGGGAAGTCAAGACCCAGAGAGAATTTGTCGGAAAGCCATTCACTGCGGTCAAACCCGGGCGCTATAGACAAAGGATAAGGTTTAATTTACTGGTTTTACCTGGACCAACCTTGTATTGCTTGTCATTGTATTCAACTCCGAGATATTTTAACAGAAGGCGACTTTGTTCCGCAAGCTGTGTACAACATAACAAAGTCATCTTTATGGCACTACAAAACACAGTTGGCGATCTTAACCAGCATATAGAGAGGGTATTAATCAATGGATTATACGTCAGATATAATGGAAAAATATAAATTGCATTATTGATGAATCCAACGCCAATGCAATAAATACAATGTCTTCGAATTTTGTCAGATCCCAAGAACATTTCTCTGAAAGAAAACACGCCATACTAACCCCCCTGATATCCCAGTAAGCTAAAGTAGGCGCCATTTCAAGCCCCAAGATCGCACACGATAACGATATCGACGGTTAAAATGAGACGCTCTCTATCATACTAATCCGAAAGACATCCAATCACAATATAAGCTTCAGCCTGATAAAATAAAATATTCGTGTCGATCATTTGTTCGAACCAAGGTTATAATATTTCATAATCGTGTGCGTTAATGACTAACATAATTAATGATGAGGAGAATTGGAGCGGGTTGTGTTTATTTAATTTTGCTAAGCACACTTTGCTGATGTATGTTTGATTTTGGTCAAATCAAGGGTAGAAGTTGCGATAACTCTTAGATATAATATTTAGCGTAATTTTTTCGTTTGTTGCAATTCTTTTTTGTTCTTTGTTTACGCGACCTCCTTGCGTTTGGCGGTTGCTTTAGGATCGACCGAGTTTCACACAAACTGTTATTTGTTAGTAGCTGATGAATAGATGCTTGTAGTCACGTCGCTCACTTCCTATTGCGTAAAAGTAGGCATGGAGTGGACTAACGCCAAGTATCCAAGCTTAAAATAGAGGTAATTGGATTTGGCTTGATTCTGGGGCTGTTTCACGGGCACGAGGGCAAAATTATTACCAAGCAGGTCGCGGCCTGTACGGATATTCGGGTAAACGGGGCTTTCTATCAGGTAAAGGAAGTTAGGTGAAAATACCTAAATGCTTACGCTCAGCTAAAATTTTGGGAGTGAAGTTATAGGCTTTTGCAAGACCAGTCCTCGAGACAAAATCGAAATGGTCACTCGCAGTGACCAGGTTGTCAATTAAACAGGGAATCACAGCATTACCACTATTATCCATGGCAGTGTAGTCGCAGAGCGTATTTGCTGACCTCGGTGTAGCGTCCCTAGACTTCCTAGCCAGAATGAGAAGTCAGTGGATGAGGCTAGTACTTGTATTCCGAAGAGAACATGTCAAGTGGGCCTGAGCATGGCCCGAAGGCCAGTCCACATTAACAAGGGCCAGACAAATCCTAAAGTGACCGCAAAGCGTCATGTGGTCACATAAACAAGGTATTACACTCGGCTCAGAACATTTTTTCGTAGGTTCTTCAGGTTAAGATTTACTCATTACAGTTTTACTCGGCATGAAAAGGAGTTACAAGTCTGAACGGCGCCAAGAAAACAAACACTGGTTATGTTGGTTTTCTTTTCGATTTTGTACGCGTGGACAGGCTTTCTGTCCGATTCAATCACTAATCCCTTCTTGTTCTCCTACAATGCACGCATTTTGCCCAACTTGATGTCCTCACTCATCTGCGTAGCCTCTATGCGCTGCAGGTATGTCCATTGTGATCCGTATATTCCTCGAACACTCAGTTAAAATTCAGATCCCGTCTATCATCCATCGAGAACACTTCAAACACAATTGAGCATCTGAGTCTTCCCCCTAGTAAAAGAAGTTTTCACGCTGAATGGAACACATTTGCCCATGCCCACAAGAGGCGAATAGCAAAGTAACCGCCAAATCTACACGTGGTCACATAAGCAAAGTATTATGCATTATATTGGGCAGTTACTGGAAAGTCTGTACGCCCGAGTTGGCCTTCGGCCCAGGTTAAGGCTCACTACCCTCTTCCCCCAGAATGCACATATTCGGCTCAACTTAATGCCCCCTTCCACCTAAATGGGAAGTCTTGGGGCGCTACGATGGGGATGCTGGGTCAAAGGAACTGATTTTAAATGTTGTTTAAACCAATCCATTCGCTTTAAATGTCGGCGACTCTTTAATCGTTTTAGAAGTCATAAAGAAATATGACACAACATTTTCTCCTTTTACTCCGTAGATGCTACGCAACAAATCTGCTTTAAGTTTGTAAATTGTGATGGCGATCCTTTCGCACACTCAGATTGCGTCCAAAACGCTTGAATTTAAAATAACTATATTGTGTCAACATTAGGCACAATTGGGAAACCACTTGTGACACTTTGAGGCAATGGAGTGAGGAGTTAAGGGGGTGTAACCGAGAATTCGGTCAAATGCTGTGCAAGACGTAATGGCACAAGGCAGTGGAGTCCTCCTCCGACCAGTCTCGTCCATCTATTCACCTCCACAACGCTAGCCGTCGCAGGGGTGGTGGCCTAGGCCCCACTCAAAAGCATCCGCAAATGATGATTGCATCCATGGAATTCACACCCAGGTTTTGAGTGAACAATGGGAAGCAGAGCGAACTGCAACAGAGCTAACGCAATACGCATTTTTCTTATTTCAAAAGCAAACCATCTCCGTCACAATGGAACATACAGTTTAAGAACCTCTTCCAAAGAGGGGCTTCTTATTCTCCATAAAATTTTGTCAAGATCTTTTCCTCCTCCAGCTTCCGACGATTCATTGGCTTCTGTCTAATACGGCATCGCCTCCTCGAACCGAAAAAAAAATCTAAAGACACCTTTTCTAGTCTGGTGATGCCGAGTCACACAGAGTATTTTTCAGCGGATGATATGGCAGTGCCATTAGAGACAAAACAAAACATCGCCAATCAACCGAAGTAAAGCGATGTGCATAGGACGGGGCGGCAATTAGAGTGGAGCGAACAATATATGTCGGTCGTGTCACAAAGAACGCGTCCAACTAGCCGAACTCATGCACATGCATGCCTCGGGTGTGGACTTTGTTTATTCCCGTCTTCAAAGCTCAATCCAGTGATTTATCGCCAACGCAGTCGCTACTACCAGTCAAACACACACACACACACACATCCACGATAGCCAATTGTTGAGCCTCTTCTCAAGAGAATCGGTCCAAGTGAAGTGGGACAGAGCAAGCCAAAATCATTTGCCATTGTCCCCTAGCCAGACTAGCCAGCACTGACAAGATGTGTGTGACAGCTGTTTAGGCTGTTGCCGTGCCACTCAATGTGCTGTTTTGAGGACATCCACAACTTGACAGGCAGATGCTCGCTCAGCATCCACCTGACCTCGCCAATAAAGCCTCCTTACGCCAACACGACTCGCACCCCCCTCACTGACGACCACAGCGACGACGGATAGTTGACAGGCCCAAACTGCACACGATGTGAGCCAAATGAGACAAGTTTATAACACCAAACAGCACTGCCATCACAGCGTCGCCCTCAACCACCCAAACTACTGCCCCCAAAGCGAAAGGAGCTCCAATGCCCTCACCAGACCTCCGCACCACTGTTGACGTAGGGAGGACACCCCGATTTAAGACGTTCTCCTCTACTCATTGGCAAACGACAAACCGCACACCCACAAACCCTCCACCTCCACAAAAGCAGTGGGGCATGAAATTTGGATCGCAACAGGCTATCCGACACGCTGACCAAAGGCAGAGCTCAGACAAGACCGCAGTTGTTACACAATGTCCTCTTCACCACGCCAAAGGACGATTGACAAATCGTCGATGAATCACCTCTCCTCCCCTCCCCCACCCCCACCACAACCATCAACTGCATCACTGGAGAGACCGCTCCGGTCGCAACTTATCAAACCACCACTTCAGTGTTCCTAGTAGACGCCACATTCCTGCCACTCGCCTGCACCCTCCTCCCCCCCCCTCCTCCTCAACCTTCAACGTATGCAAAACTACATCACTAAAATAAAACGACAGCTGAATTTAACCACTTTATTAGCGAACGTTTAGCATAATAGGAAAAGAGACAACAGTAAAGATCGAAAATGGCAAAACGTGGACAAAGGCCTAAGAATCACCACGCCATTTCGCATTTGCGTTGTTGCACGGACGCGTTTTGAACTCCTTCGATGCCATGTATTCGCGTAATGCAGGCAAGTCCTGCAATAAAATGTAGCACGTCGAAGCATTTTACACATCGTCTTCGGAAACAAAAATTCAACCAACTCTCCAACTACTCATCCAGTTACCTCGAAACGCTCCAAGTAAGCCTGCAGTTTGGGATACTTCTTCAGACAGGTCGGCTCAAACTTCTTCATTTGGTTCAGCAGCTCGCACAGAGCAAAGTCTGGATAATTGATCTGCAAACAATATGGCAACACAACACTCCACATCGCATACAAGTTACCGCGTCAGAAGCAACAATTACCCTCCATCCACGGACCACACAATGCCAAATTACCAACACTTACAATACACACAAACAAACCATGATAAGATATCACAACCTATGTGTGATTTCCAGACACCCAAGTAACAGAAGACAAAATTGGACACACCTTGTCACCTGTGAGCCACTCCTTGTCGCCCAAAAATTTCTCAAAATTCGGCAATTTCTGGTCCATCGCCTCGAAGATGCTTGGCTTCAGCTTCTCCTGTAATCACCGCACAGACCAAAAACCACCGGTTTTAACAACCCAACACCGCACCCCATTCACACACCACTCGCACACCAAACAATAATCCGACTTACAAAATCTGGACTGTAACATGGCTTTACAAATGCCATGCGCAAATCCATAATCTCGCATTGTAGCATGTGCAGCACAGCACGTCGCTTCTTGCAATCGGGAACTACAGCGCAAACACACCGCGTCATAAGCATAAGCAATGTAATTAGAAAGTGCCGACAGCAGGAGTTAACAGCTCTCACCCATTCCATGCCTATCTGCAATGTACTCCAAAATGGCTCCAGATTGAGTTAATTTGTAGTCCCCATCGATGTAGTACGGCAACTACGTATAAAAGCGATTGTAATCGTGAAAATAGAGGCAGCTTACGTTTGGAAAGTCAAGACCCAGAGAGAATTTTTCCGACAGCCATTCAACGCGATCAAGATTTGGAGCTATGGTCAAATGATAAGAAACATACTACCCGCACTTACGTGGACCAACCTTGTATTGCTTGTCATTGTATTCAACTCCGAGATATTTTAAGAGAAGGCGACTTTGTTCAGCAAGCTGGGAAACAAATCAAAACATTATTCACATCTATTTAGCAGTATACAGTACACAGCATATTAACTAATGTGGTTGGAAGAATCCACAGAGGAAATACAAGTTAACATACTTGACGTTTATTCAGATCTACCACCATATAATATTTTAAAAAGAGCTTAAGTTCTTCTTTCTATCTATCTTAAATGTACTACTACACTCACTCCTCTAATGTTCCAGTAAGCCAAAGTAGGAGCCATCCCGCTAACGGCAACTAGACACAGTAAGTGGAGGCTGCTTTACCTATGAATGGTTATGCGGAGCGCGTCTCAGAGACCTTTATTTACATTTTGAACATCAGCTGATTAAAATAAAGTAGTTAAAGTTGTGTGCTTGCAAATGTATAAAATTAGCATAAAAGTATTCGCATAATATTCTGTTTTATGGTTAAATGTTGATGCATAATGAAGTTAAAAGATTGTAAAGCAATAACTTGTATGTTTTCTGTTTTAGGAGGAGAGATGTATCGTGGTTGTTGGATTCGTTAATTTGTCCATTTTTAACTAGTTTATATATTTTGACAAGTGGTGAACATACGTTGCATTGTAATCTTTAATGCTAACATTTCCTCAGCCGTCCACCTGTGATTTTCTTGGACGTTGAATAGGGTAAAATGTTAAGATTTCAGTGGTTATAGTTCTGGTACAGCTATGCGATTCAAATGATTTTCTGCCACTTTTTGACAGGAACAAGCCTACCACCAGTGTTGTATGCATATTTTAGTTAAAATGCTATGGCATGAGCCGGTTACCGATTAATTCATCAGCGACGAATTCACCTCACATGAGTCTATCCCGATCATGGAAAATATACCTTTAATGCGGTGTACTCTAGATTTTAAATTTATATGCTGAATTTTCAAACTAAATCGTATTCCTTAAAAAATTACCCATTTTTGTAAAAGGCATCAACCGCTGCTGAAATCATGTATTAATTGGGGAGAGTAAGATTTGAAGCTTAGAATTACTTGGAAGATCAGCCCACCCAGTTAAAGTAAAATGAATGCCGAAGGAACCTTTACTCATAGGCAATCAAGTAATCAAGCTATCGCGGATATTGCAAATTACGCATTCGAGAGTAAATGTCGGCCATTAAATAGCCCATTTTTTGGCCAATTTCGTTTCTCTTAAGGCGAGTAATCGATAAGTCTTGAGACTTTTCAAGCGTCTTTGTCCTCTAATCACAGATAAAGCATGAAATGTTGAAATTGGGCGTTTGTTATTGGGGCGGTTTCTTTGTTGACGCAGGAAATGCAGAGTGTGGATTGAAACTCAGGAGTCAAACTAAAAAGTGATTCCATCATTGCGAGACCAAAGAACATAAATTACATTTTGGTGAAGGCCGATTTCTGTGAATGCTTTGTGCTCAAGTGAAGGCATCAGATAAGCCACCAACAGTTGTGAGCTCTTAGGGGATATTTCGCCCTCTCATCCTGTTCCTCATCCTCTCACAACCGTACTAATGAAATTAGGGGCAAAATGAGCCGACTTGTCATAAACAACCAAGTGGGTTCACCATAAATAGATCCTCTACATTAGGTAGGCAAATCCTTATACGTCAAAGCCGAGTCGGTCATTCTAGGCCGTAAACCTACGAAATCCTTGGTTGTCTTATGGGTCTGAGAATTTTAAAATGCAAAATTTCCACTCCCAATTAAGGCGTGTGCAATGGACTCTGGCAACATATTTTGGGGGCAGTGGTAGTATGACAAACTGCTTTGTTAACCCAGACTATTCACCTTTTCCAAAGAGCAACTGCTTCTTCGGCACAACACCCAATATGATTGATGCTGTAAACCTTTGAGAATCAAGAAGTATGGGGTGAATAGCACCCAGCCCGACCAAGTGCAGCACTCCGAAAGCAAAGTCACTTCCAGACGGAAAGGACTGGAAAGGGCATTTGACTCATATGCAAACCCATTAATTTTCATCAGACAAAGGCGTTGACAATCATTACTGATACTTAACTGTCTCGGCTTAGAGACGTTTAAAACTTTATGCGAGGCACTGCTACTTAGAATTGAAATAAGTAGTACACCACAATCAAAAACGAAGCAAGGTAGAAGTGAAGCATTCACATTTATTGGGTTTCCTTCGATTTTCCTTTAACATTCTTTGAGAGTTACCATCATTACTATTCCTCATAGTTATTAACACTCATTAAAATTACTGTCTTTTAATCCCCATTGCCTAGCACTCTGCATAGACCGAGCCTGGCCCACTTTGGTCCGCAACAAGATTCTTCCATGCACGGACTGCAGGCAAAGTGCATTCCCAAATCAATTTCATCATGTTAATAACAAAGGTATCTACATGAATTGACCTTTTAACTGTTTCTTAAATTGAAGTAGAAGGCACAAAAAGGTCACCAATGCTGTTAATCACAAAGCACCGCGAATCATGACCAAAATAGTACTTTTGTAAGTTCATAAGACAGCTATGATGCCTAAAATGATAGATCGAAACTCCACCTTTAACTCTATGGTGACTTGAAGTTGCTCTCTTCTTCCAACGTTACATGAAATCTTCCGATCTCGATTCTCCCCTTCAAATCGTTTCGCATCTCTTTAAGGTTAATCGTCTGTCCTTCACTCGCGACTTTTTGAGCGCCTACGCACTGACACCATTTCCCTTTTGCTCATTCTAATGCGTCAGGTGACATGAGTATCTAGTGTGTCGCCTATAAGGATGGAAGTCTCGAGAAAATCCAGGCCACCCTCGTATACGGACACATAAAAAATCTTTCGTTGTAAATATTAGCCAAACAGCATATGACGGGAATTTGCAATAAATATTTAGGGCCTTTTTTGACAGAAGCACATACCAATGTGCGTGTCTACGGGGGGATGGATGGTTTATAGCAGACGACCTTGATAAGATGTGTCTTGCTTAACCAGTTGGCACTGCCTCATTCACTTCTGGCGGTTTGTCATGGTCACCGGCAAACTTAAGATCCGCTGATATGAAAGGGATCGAGCTCTGTCAATTCCACCAGTATCATCTGTGATACTGATAAGTTCATCAGTAGTATAAACAAAAGGTCAAACTTACGTAGAACATTTCCAACAACAACACTGGATTGGGCTCAAAAAACAAGAAAACGAATTCCTATTTTTTAAGGGCTAACAAGTGGCTGGATAATTCGCTGGCGCAGCGCCTCCGTCCACCCGTTCATTGAGCAAAACAGAAACAAAAACAGCTCTCTATTAACTTTACATTTAGGGAATTAATTACGGTTCTGTAGTGCTGCAGAATGCCAAACCATGGCGCAACGTGGCCATGCCGGTGCTACGCCTCTCAGAAGTGTCCTACGACCCTCGAGGAAACGACTCGCCAGCTCCCCTATCTGGTAAAAGGAGTGGTGGAAGCCACCGCTGCCATCGAATCCAACCAGCTTGTGAGAAAAATCTGCCCTCCTTTTCATCTTTAAAAGAGTTAATATCTCTGATCCGCCTGAATCGCCTACCGAAGATGCCATCGAAGGCAGGCAAAGGCGCGCCTCAACAATCAGACAACTCTCTGTGCCCACATCAACAGCCCCTTGGCTTTATTTGAATCGCAGACTTAGGAAGAAAGTCAGCCATCTGTTTAGCCGAGTATGTTAAAAGGCGGTGATTGCCAGCAAGTTTGTGTGTACTTTGTGCACACTTATACTGTTCATTCGTTTGAAGTCAACATCTCACTAACTTTTCTTTCCTTTTCACCCAGCCCAGATGCATCACTCTTGAGTGATTTGTGTAGTAAGGAGGGGAGAAGTGGGTGTCACACCTTTGTGACATTCGGTGCGAACGTGTTGCTTGCCTAATCACCCACGTAAACAAGCACCCTAACACAATTTTTTTTGCCTGGCCTAAAGAATTCATCATCTTGCTTCTCGTGTGGCCAATTCGCCACCTCGATAGTTCCAGTCTATCTCACCAAAAAACAAAAGGGCGACCTACGGACGGATGGAAGTGGCACCGCTGTCGCCCACGGTCCGATTTTGTGTCCACATTGCGGCTGCAGCTGGGTCAGCACTTCGGCATAGCCACAACACTGAGAGGACAATTGGGCATGGAAAGATGATGCCTTGCATATGTCACCTTTGGAGGCAAGAAACAGAGTCAAGTGGTAGCCCTTTTTTTACTCTGGCACCGCCTTGTCCGAAAAGTGAGATTTTACTCTCCTCCGCCTGTTCCAAGGTCCAAGTTTAATCTAAGCTTGAATCACCGTCCGAGTGGCTGAGCTTCAGACATCTAAAGGCATAGGCAAAAGGCATTTGATTGTAATGAAACCAGTCAACAAGACATTTCCACTAAGAAAAGCTTCAGCAGTGGCTCTAATTCAAAGTCACACTGATTTGACATTTTAAAGAAACTGTTTTAGAGATGCCATCCCCATCTCTTAGCCCTTCGTCCCCTGACGAGGGTCCTACGGACACACTGCCATGATTGTAATTGTGAAGTATCCAGAGGATGCGTCATTGGCCCCTCACTAGTTTATTAATAAAATCTTGCATGCCTGCCCGATTTGGGGCACTTCTGCATGGTGCACAGCGTTGCCATGTCAGGGCTCTACAAATACACATACACACACACACAGTTGTGTGCTAGGTAAACCTGGCCTCATGGACAATTAAACTTTTTAAGGAAAATAAACAAATAGCCTTACGAAAGGAGGAATTGAATCAAGAGTGCGATGTTCTCCTTTTTATACGTTTTTCCAGCCAGCGAATGGCTACGAAAACAAATTCAGAACTTGGACACACAACAGTCGCCTCGTCCTCCGAATTTGCTCCCACATCTCCCCCTCCCCACCTCCCCGAATTGGCAGAACAGCCAAATTCCTTTTCCGGCAGAACATTGCCTTTCCTTCTTCAAAGCTTAAAACTATGATCAAGTTAAATTTTTACTTCGTAATAAATCCTCTTTTACTAGTTTTACCAGTTGCATTGCGGGTAATACTAAGACCTTACGCATTATGATCCGACTGTAGGACCCGGGGGCATTTTGTTTCGCCACATTTCTCGCGTTGTTAGACAAACAAAAATATCGCATTTTGGAATTTAAAGTCAAGCCAGACCGAGAAGAAAAAATTAACTTTTTGATTAAAGGAGGTAAACAAAAGAGCTTATTGGCTAATTCCCTTCAGAGGCTTGCTGATTGGCTGGTTGAATGAACCAATCAGCTGGGGGGAATGTTCCAATGTCGAACAAAATCTCC